CTACTCTTTCAGGATCCGTTGTAGCATTCACCTGCCACTTCCTCAGCCACCTTACCTACTGGCTTTATCGCATCTTTGGATCTCTCACTTCTATAGTGACCCTCATCTCCTCTTCAGAGTTGAGAAAAAGCAGTCCACACCCACTTCTCCTTCCTCACCTCCAGTTTATTCTCCAACCCACCTCAGTTGAGCTTCTGCCACCCTCCCCACCACCACCACAGACACTGTTCAGAAGGAGGGCACGAAATAGCTACAAAAAACAGATCCTTTTCTTTGCTTTCATCTTACCAGCCCTCTCCATGGTGTTTTGTACTGTCTCCTCCCCACTGGAAAGTCTCCAGGGTTGTCCTCTTATCTGTCCAATAGCCCTTTCTTAGGCCTCTCATCCTTCAGCATCTTGTTAAGTATGGGTATTTCCAGAGGCTTGGATCTCGACCTTCTGCTCTTCTTTTTATACCTTTATATATAAAGGTCTCATCCCAATTCCATCCCACTGGTCCACTGTTGTCCCTAAACCTCAGTTTCCAGCCCCAGATCTCCTTTACTCTGCCGAGTTGCTGGCTGTGTATCTTCATTTGGGTATCTCAATCCCATCAATACCCAAGCCATCTTCCTGAAAAAATCTGCTCAAGTGGCAGAACTTGGTGGCCACTGCTGCCTGTTCACTGTAATTCAGAAATATCAAGACAACCTTTATTCCTCTAGCTCTGATCTCTTAAGTCTTGTTAATTCTCCCCCCTCAGCTATGCTCAGATGCGTCTTCCCATGTGATGGATTCAGGCCTCCATCATTGCTCATCTGAACAATTCAAACCAAAGAACTCATCTCCTGGCCCTTCCCCAGTCCAGCTTCCATCATCTTCCTAAAACACAAATCTAATCACATCACTCCCGTTTTAATCCTTCAGTGGCTCTGACAGCACTTGCCACAGCACACTGAAATTAGTTCACTGGTTTCTCTTCTTTTGTTTGCTGTAAGCGACAGGAGCAACGACAATGCCATTTCCCCAGTACCGACCAAAATGCCTGGCACATGGAGGGTGCTTGATAAATATCTCAGTGAAAGGATTCAGCCTTACCAGACGCCACTTGGATGTGTTAACAGCAGAGTGGGGTAGTGGTTAAAAGAAGAGGCCAGACAGGCAGACTGGGCAGGTCTGAGTGCCAGCCACCACCAACCTCCAGCTGTTGGCCTGGGGAAGATCATACCTTTTGTCAGCCTCAGTTTTATCAACCTTTAAATTAGCACACCACACCTACCTTACAGAGAATGGGGCAATGCACCTAAAGGACTTAGCTAAGTGGCCCACAGGGGAGCAGGCACTAAATGGTTGCCATTTTTCTTATTAATGACAGCAACCACCAGTTAAGCATCAAAGTTAGAAAAGAATCTAATGCTAGAACCACTGAAGCTCCAAGACACATATTAACTTGTCACAAATTTAGTAAGTGGCAAAATAGAACTTGAAACGTAGTATCAATACAACATAACTTGCTGTGCTACCAGCAGCCGAAAAGTGCTTTGTGAACAATACACAGACTGTTAGATGCAGGATGTTCATAGATGTACTTGGCTAACTACGTACATGGGTATTTGTCTCTCTAATCGTGGACTTGGACTAATGTGCCTTGGGGCAGGTTCCTAATTACAGTACTATTGATCTTTCCTATCAGCTGTGATCATGTTAAACTAGGAATCAAACAGTTCCTCCTTGGAGCCTTCCGTAGATCAGTGGTTGTTAAGAGTGGAGAGGCAGCCACCGTTGTCTGAAATTTCAAAATATACTCCTTTCCCCTTTTGAGAACCACTTTGTTAAATGAAGTTTTAGCGTATGCAGAGTACCTTTGGCACATTGTGCTATGAAAAGAATGAGTATTCTTTGAAGAGCTTGTATTTTGTTCTGCACATGCTCCATTCTGAAGTATCTTAGATATAACACACAACGGCTTGCTGCCTGGGATTCAGGTGGTCATCTGCAATGGGCTTGTCTGCCCTCCGTGATGAAGCCAGGACCCTGGGGATAGAGCAGAGGAGGGGACTGAAGTACAGGGGACCCCCAGGCATCCTCTCAGAGCAAGCTGGGCCCTGGCCTGAAGGGTATGAGAGAAAACAGTTAAGAAAATGGCTGCAGGGTCCTCTGGTCCCCCAGGTTCTTTCTGGTGAGCAATAGTACCACTGAGTTCTTTGCAATGTTGGACCAAGACCAGGTGCCTTTCAGGACATGCAAGTGGGGAGTGAGGTGGAGCATAAAAGCCAGCTGCTACTTTACCAAGATAGACACAAAACCAGGTTTGTCTCAGCCAAGTGCCCTAAAAGCTACTCAAATCGGTTTTCAGTATCTGGTTTATTGATCACAATGTAACTGAGGCTTGTGTAGTCATGTGTATTCCCAGTTTTTGGTGTGGCCTTCCTAGATCATTCCTTTAGAGGTGTGTTAAGGGTACTCAGCACCTCTTTGCATTGCTGTGGACATTACCTATGTTGGGCTCAACAGGAACCAACTTGCTCAGAGCTTAACAGCTGCTTGTGTGCAAACAGATCCTGCAGTGCAGGACATGGCAGCAAGACCATGTGTCGGGGCTGGTTGGCTGCAGGCAGTTCCCTTTTACTGGCAGCCTTGACTGTGACTCTGGCCCCCCAGAGCTGAACCAGCCACTCAAGAGGGAACAAATCCTGGTGTATACGAGGAGGCTGCATTCTCTCAACACTGAGTGTGGACAGTGATCCCAGGTACAAGGTCGGGCCTGTGACTCACCTGCCCAAGATGAGGGTGTGTACCACCGAGGAACAGCTGGCAGGAGCGACCAGGCTGGCGTCACCAAGCACCCTTCCCCCTCCACACCCTCTGTCCCGCATGCCCACTCTGAGTCACTCTCCTGGTCACAGCCTCTGTGTGAAGGCGTTAGCACCGTTTGGGGTACCACCTTAGGGGTGTGCACTGAAGTGCTGTAGGGACAAGGACAAGGCACCAGAGCAGAGCACATGGCTTGGTGAGTGCTTCTTGGTGACTCTAGCAAAGGGCCCATCTAGTAGCATCCAGAGACCCTGAACCCCCTTAAAGAAGCAGGCCTCACAAGACCTGTGACAAAGCTATTAAATGTGAGGTTAGAAAGAAAACATCACACAATTGTTGTTTGTCCATTATAAAAAATTTATCAAGGGAATACTTTTGAGTTTTGAGAGACTTGGTTTAGCAAAGACTAAAACTCATTAAAACATTGTATTTTTTTCAACCTACCCAGTGGGATTTTAATTAAATAAATCCTCCATTACTTTAGGAAAGAAACTGCTTTCCTAGATGAGAAAAGTCAGTTTCCAAATCGTCCTCGCTTCACCTCTACTGCTGTGTAACCCTCAGGAGAACTAAGCCTCGCCAGGGGCAGCTCCTCGGGAAGTCAATGTGGGGAGAACAGGTGATGTCCTGACGCAGACTAGACGCAGACTCCGGGCTAAATGCACAGTCAGGGATGTGTAACATGATCACACGACTTATCAGCCTCCTTGGGGCAGGTTCCTAATTACAGTACTATTGATCTTTCCTATCAGCTGTGATCATGTTAAACTAGGAATCAAACAGTTCCTCCTTGGAGCCTTCCGTAGATCAGTGGTTGTTAAGAGTGGAGAGGCAGCCACCGTTGTCTGAAATTTCAAAATATACTCCTTTCCCCTTTTGAGAACCACTTTGTTAAATGAAGTTTTAGCGTATGCAGAGTACCTTTGGCACATTGTGCTATGAAAAGAATGAGTATTCTTTGAAGAGCTTGTATTTTGTTCTGCACATGCTCCATTCTGAAGTATCTTAGATATAACACACAACGGCTTGCTGCCTGGGATTCAGGTGGTCATCTGCAATGGGCTTGTCTGCCCTCCGTGATGAAGCCAGGACCCTGGGGATAGAGCAGAGGAGGGGACTGAAGTACAGGGGACCCCCAGGCATCCTCTCAGAGCAAGCTGGGCCCTGGCCTGAAGGGTATGAGAGAAAACAGTTAAGAAAATGGCTGCAGGGTCCTCTGGTCCCCCAGGTTCTTTCTGGTGAGCAATAGTACCACTGAGTTCTTTGCAATGTTGGACCAAGACCAGGTGCCTTTCAGGACATGCAAGTGGGGAGTGAGGTGGAGCATAAAAGCCAGCTGCTACTTTACCAAGATAGACACAAAACCAGGTTTGTCTCAGCCAAGTGCCCTAAAAGCTACTCAAATCGGTTTTCAGTATCTGGTTTATTGATCACAATGTAACTGAGGCTTGTGTAGTCATGTGTATTCCCAGTTTTTGGTGTGGCCTTCCTAGATCATTCCTTTAGAGGTGTGTTAAGGGTACTCAGCACCTCTTTGCATTGCTGTGGACATTACCTATGTTGGGCTCAACAGGAACCAACTTGCTCAGAGCTTAACAGCTGCTTGTGTGCAAACAGATCCTGCAGTGCAGGACATGGCAGCAAGACCATGTGTCGGGGCTGGTTGGCTGCAGGCAGTTCCCTTTTACTGGCAGCCTTGACTGTGACTCTGGCCCCCCAGAGCTGAACCAGCCACTCAAGAGGGAACAAATCCTGGTGTATACGAGGAGGCTGCATTCTCTCAACACTGAGTGTGGACAGTGATCCCAGGTACAAGGTCGGGCCTGTGACTCACCTGCCCAAGATGAGGGTGTGTACCACCGAGGAACAGCTGGCAGGAGCGACCAGGCTGGCGTCACCAAGCACCCTTCCCCCTCCACACCCTCTGTCCCGCATGCCCACTCTGAGTCACTCTCCTGGTCACAGCCTCTGTGTGAAGGCGTTAGCACCGTTTGGGGTACCACCTTAGGGGTGTGCACTGAAGTGCTGTAGGGACAAGGACAAGGCACCAGAGCAGAGCACATGGCTTGGTGAGTGCTTCTTGGTGACTCTAGCAAAGGGCCCATCTAGTAGCATCCAGAGACCCTGAACCCCCTTAAAGAAGCAGGCCTCACAAGACCTGTGACAAAGCTATTAAATGTGAGGTTAGAAAGAAAACATCACACAATTGTTGTTTGTCCATTATAAAAAATTTATCAAGGGAATACTTTTGAGTTTTGAGAGACTTGGTTTAGCAAAGACTAAAACTCATTAAAACATTGTATTTTTTTCAACCTACCCAGTGGGATTTTAATTAAATAAATCCTCCATTACTTTAGGAAAGAAACTGCTTTCCTAGATGGGAAAAGTCAGTTTCCAAATCGTCCTCGCTTCACCTCTACTGCTGTGTAACCCTCAGGAGAACTAAGCCTCGCCAGGGGCAGCTCCTCGGGAAGTCAATGTGGGGAGAACAGGTGATGTCCTGACGCAGACTAGACGCAGACTCCGGGCTAAAGGCACAGTCAGGGATGTGTAACATGATCACACGACTTATCAGCCAACCAGGATACTTCTGAGCATGAAAGAGGGTGCTGTCAACTACTTGAGAACAAAGGCATAAAATGCGACAAACGGCCACCCTAGTGGTAAGGCAGTTTGGGAAATGACAATTCCCAGGATGCCCCGCCCTTTTTGGTGAAAAGGATCGATTGGAGCAGAGCACCTTGGGACCTGTGGTTTAGCACCATCTAAGAGGTAAACAGAACAGGGCCAGGATGTGACATGGAGGCTTCCTCCTTTCACAGGACACGTAACCAGACACAGAACACAACACCTGAGGGGTAATTTCAATGGATATTAAGTCTGGGGGGGAGCCCTCTCTCCCCACCAACAAGCTTCCCAAGGTGTGCAGCTGGTAGAGCGTCCTCTGGTCTGCTGCCTCTCCTTAGGGCAGTGCTGCCTCTGTCCCCACATCAGCGTCCCCACTGCTGCTAGTCTTCCGGGGGATTCTGAGCCAGGTGCTGTTCCCACTCGACTTCAACCAACTTGTACAGCTCCATGGTGGCCTGAGCATCTTCCACAGAGGAATGTCCACTTTGCCCAACCTGAACAAGGGAGGAAAAAGAGATGAAGCTACAAGAGACTGTTTCTTCCCTTCCCAAATGGCTCCCCTCAGCCCCCCTTACATGGTGTTGCTTCTGCAGGATTAGCAGGCTGCAAAGGTAGAACTCTGGGGGTGACCCTACTTCAGGAGTTCAGGGTTCAACTCCCATGCTGTCTGCTTAAATCCTTTCTGTGGCCACATGTATGTCCCAGATTGTCCTACATTCTGTAAAGACAGAACAATCCAGGTCACAGACAGGCCCCTGAGTCTCCCACCTCCCCCAGTTCCTTAACTGTTCCATATATGACATGTGCCCACACCCTCCTGCCAGGAAGGCTACCCTTCGAGTGCCAGGCATGTGAAATACATGAGGTCCTTTGCACCCATGTGATCTTTTAGATCACCATCACTACCTGCTTTCTTCTTTTCTTAGTTAGGCTTTAAGGCTTTTTCCCTTTTCCAAGTACCCCCTGGAATACCTGGGAGGTAGGGAACAGGAATTGTCATCCCTAAGCACAGATGGAGACACTGGTGGGCCCCTGTGCCCAAAGCTCTTCCCAACACAGAAGCCTGAATGGATCTCTACAACCAGAGGAATTCTGGGGTTGGAATCTCGAGCAAGGCAGCAAGGAGGGCCTCCACGGTGTCCAGGCCGGGGGAAGGCAGTACTAGGGGAGACAGTACCTGGATGTCGCGGCTCAGCAGCTCCTTGGTCAGACGCTTCAGGGACATGGTGGCATTCTCCGGGCAGTTGGCCTTCCGGTTGAGGAGGGGGATATGGGAGGTGTCACGGGTGAGGGACTTAGGGTGGAAGTACTGAAGGGCTTTGAAGTCGTTGTGGATGGCATGCCCCACCACTATCTTCCCTGTGAGTATCTTCAAGATCTGAAATAGTGCAGAAGAGGAGGCGGTGAAGAGGAGGGCTCTGGGGTGAAGCCCCCGCAGCCTGAGAGCCCAACATGGCCGCTGGTCCCTCTAATTCTTTTCACCAACTGTCCACCTGCCCCACCTTTGAAATGCCCTCTCCCATTAAGTTTTCTTTCACCTGAAATCCATCTCTCCTCTCTCTGAGGTACAAGTTGTTTGGTGCTATAACTGTGTTTGGATTTATAATATCAGTGGCTCCATATCTTCTCATTAGTTTTCATCCCAAGGACAGATTAATTTGCCTCTGGTCCCAAATCACACTGCTGCTTGAGATACTCATGTACCTAGTTCAGTTCCAGCTGGCTGCTTGAACTCCGTTAGCCATTATCATTATGCTGGCCTTAGATACAAGGTTGCAAGGGGTCAAAGATGGGCTCCAGGGATGTAATGGAAACCCTGAGTTACATATAAATAGTATGTATACGGGGTGCTTTTTGGGCGGGATGGGGCAGTGCCTGTGGCTTTCATCAGTCTCTCAAAGGGTCTATAAGCCACGAAAGATTAAGAATCACTTAGCGACTGAGGCCGAGGAGGAAAGTGATTCAGTGACCCATGCTTGTGCAGGAAGTCCATCCCGCTGCTTTAGAGCTCCTCCTGCTCGTAACAGGGTATTTACCAGCTGGCCAGGAACCTTATTCATGAGTCTTGGAACCAGATAACTTCTGACCATTTCAGGATCTTCAAGCATGAGGACAGACCACCAGTGAGGGCAAACGAAGAACCTGCTGTGCGCCCTGAAGGCCATTCTCCAAACCGGGCTCCAAACCGGTTGTGAACAAGAGTAATGGCCTGGAAGCACACTTGGCCTCCCAGGGGACCCCTTGGGAGAGGCCAGACTCGTCTGGATGTACCTCAGCTTGGGCACTGGGGAAGTGTTTATAGTGAAAAACAGATGTAGTCCAGTCATCTAGGTACTACTTGTTCCTGATTTCGCCTGCAGTTTACTGACCACAACACCTTTACTTTGCACTAATTTCAACACATACCCTTGTTAATGCTGATTCGCTCTCAGACCCACCCCAGCTTCTGTTTCACCCAAGCCTTTGCTCAGCTCTACCCCTCGTGGGCAGGACGGTCTTCCACTTTTCCTTTCAAGGTCTTTCTAAAATCCAGCTGTTTTACCTGAGGAATCCCCACTGAGTGTTCAGCATATAAGAAATTATTAGACAAAGAATGCAGGGCTGACATTACAAAGAAGTGGACCAAGGGCGCCCTCTGGAGGCCTCCAGAGACCAGCTGGTTCCCCTCTCTGCCTCTGCAGGCTCACTCAGCCTCCTCGGTATCCACTTGTGCTCCCAGTATTCATTCAGCACAGGGCTATAGTGAATAGTTTGCTCACGGACAGAGATGAGAACCCCTACATAGCAGCCCTGTGTCTTATACCCCTTCCCTGCGGGCTGCCTGTCCCAGTTACACAAACAGGCCCCTGCTCCTTCCCACCTTCTGTCCTCCTACAAGCAGCACTTTCCACAGGCTACTTCTTGCTTGGGAGGCCCTCTTTACCTTTCCCCTCTCAGTCCTAGGCTCCAATTCGACAAGGCATTCCCAAATTGAGCCCATTCCCCCTGACACTCATGCCTGCTTCTCTGTCCCTCACTGGCTATTATTTCTCCATGCAGATTCCCAGTTCCTCAGGTGAGGATTCCACCTGGGACCTAAAATGGGTCTTAGCTAATTAACTATGTTAATTGCCAACTTATAGTAACTTTCCAGACTTTCACCACTCCTTACCCCAATAGGAACATCATCTGATATTCTACTCCGTCCTTCCCTCTCTCCACAAAATCCTTTAGTGCCTTCTCAGGATGATACCCTCTGCTGAAAGTTGATTTGGACCTCTCCCCCTGACCCACCTTGCTACCAACATGCCAACAGACCCCCTGCGTCTCACCTGGCTCTGAGCAATCTTGAAGGGGGTAGCATTCACCATGTGCTGCTTCCGGATACCACTCCACCTGGTCCGATAGTCCACAATGTGGCAGGGGGGACGGATGTACTCATCATAGAGTACATCTCCGTGGTAGCTGACAATGCTACATCGAGCCAAGGAACTGACATGCCCCTTGGGTCCTGTGCCCACCATCTCACAGTCAATTGCCACCATCTTCCAGGATGCTCCGGAAAATTTATTCTCTGAATGAGCTTGGGTGGAGTTCTGTGGGGCATTCTTCTGAGGGCCCTTCTTCTGGGAGCCCTTCTTCTTGGGGCGAGGTGGGTGTCTCTTAATCTTTGGAAGGGCACTCTGGAACTCTCCCAGCAAATCTATCTTAGCCACAACAGAACCAGCCTTCTGTGAAGGGGCAGGGGTCAGCCAAGGCACTGCAGCTTTCTTGTCCAGGGACTGATCTGACCCACTGCTCAAGGCAGTTGTCTTCTTTTTTTTTGGAAAGGGAGGGACCTTCCAAGTGCCATCGGCTTTAGGAGTTTCCCCTTTCTTTGGAGGTTCTGAATGTAACTTAGGCCCTTTACTAGGGGGTTGGTTCTTCTTATTCAGAAAGCCTCTACGTTCCAACAGCCGCCGCTTCTTGACGAATTTTTGGTGCTTGGCATTCCCCTCAAATGCCTTTTTGGGGGGAGGTTGATCAAAATCCAGATTGAGAAGTAAAGTAGACATGAGGACAGTGGATGGTGAAAGAGCAGTTGGAAAAAATGGCTCACCTATGAAAGGAGGATAGAGGACTCATCCTCTGCTGAATCCCACGGACCAACATCTGGAGGTTTGTTGTATACCCTGAGGAAGAAAGCAATCCTGATAAAGGAGCCCATAGGCCTAGGAAACAATAAGACCAGACCCATCTCCTTAGGTCTTAAGAGAGGAAAAACATCAGGGACACCTCCCAGATGGAGGAGGAATGAGTCTGTGATGTGAAATGATCGAAGGAACATTGTCTGAGCCAGGAAGCCCGGATTCTAGTGAAGCCCCACAATTCACCAGCTGTACAGTCTTAGGAAGGTCATTTCCCCTCTCCAGAAGTCTCACTTGTAAACTGAGGGGTTGGCGGGCCAACCAGCTCGAACTGATGAGCCTGGAAAGCCAGAATAGGTTAGTTCTATCATCTGTCCAGGGAGGCAAAGTCTAATGCTCGAAAGCAGTGACGGGAATGGCACGGATGCCCTCTGAATTACCCAGACACCGCCAGCGCAAGTCCCATGAGTAGATACATAAATCCCAGCCCCTCGTCCTGATAGGGGAAATCCCCATGTTCATCTCACCGAAGTCTCCGAATAAAGGGCCCTTAACACAGTTCAGCAAGGGGAAACCGAGGCTTGGAGCAGCCCACCCCGGCAAGCACACGTCGGTGGTCCCGCACAGGAGCCGGCCCCCACCTCGCTTACGAACCTACCTCCTACAAGAGCCCCGCTACGACCGGAAGCGCCCAGAGCCCGAGACGGAAACTGGTGCGCGCCTACGAGGCCCGGGACGGCAGGCGCGTGGGTTGGAGCGCGCCCGTGGTGGACGTGCGCGCGCCCGCGCGGCCCCAGCTGCCGGGAGAGATGCCAGGGATTCCGAGTGTGTGAGCCGCGGCGGTGGCGGCGGCGGTGGCGGCAGCGGCGGCGGAGGGATGCGCTCCCCGGCCCCTCTGGCCCGGTGGAGGTACAACTCGAAGGTGTGGCGAGGCCGTGACCAGAGGCAGCCGCAGCAAGCCGGGCCCCCGGACCCCCGGGCCTCACTTCCGGAAGAAGAGGGCAGAGGGCGGGGCTGGAACTTGGCCCGACCCTGTCGTGAGCCGGGCACCGGAGTACGCCTCTGTGGCGTCAGCTCGCCGGCGCCCCGCCCCACTAGTCTGAGACGCTGACGCTTTCGCGTGGTGGGATGTCGCGACCTGTGACGTCCAGAAGGCGCCTCGGGTCTTCAGCTCCTGCCTGGGATCCCGGGAAGGCAGCCTCGGGGACCGGATTCGGAGCTCCTGCGGAGCTGAGCCCTACAGGGGTCCTGGCACCGCGTGATACTGACCCTGGTTCCCGACTCACCGTGTTCTCGCGACGCCACTGGCTGGACCCCAGTGGGATGCCGGGCGTCTGCGCCCGGGGCCTCTCTCACGGGGAGAGGAAGCAGCTAGCCGTGAACCTCACCCGTGTCCTGGCGCTCTACCGTTCCATCCTGGACGCTTACATCATCGTGAGGCCACGGGGCTGTGGGCGGGGTGCTCCCGGGTGTGTGATTGGCAAGGTGTCCACGATAGGGAGAAATTCTGGAGAGGTAGCTTCTGATAGCTTTTCTTTTAAGTATTTCAGTCTTCTGTTCTACAAGAATGTTAAAACTGGGGGCATCTCCCCCTTTTTTCAGATGATACAAGTATTATGTCTAATATCTAGGTGGTTTTTCT